AAAGAACCGAGAAGGTACGAGTTATGACTAGCAGTCCACCACCTCTATCGTTTTCCCTCGTGTTTCCTTATCACTTACAGCCGGGCTTCGGACAACACTGTGTTCGCCGGCCCGGGCTTTCCGACAACGCTGACGCTCACCATAGAGAATCGTGGAGCGGTGATCGGCTGCAATCCAAACCTGACTCTGCACCTAGACGCGCCTGTTTCCGTGGATACAGGCGAGGGCGAGGTGGGTACCATGCAACTTGTGGAGTTGTAAAATATTGACAAGTGGTGTTGAAGTATCTCGACTAGTGGTGTTGTAATATATCAACTAGTGGATTTTATAATGGATTGGCTTTTGTAGTTGTAATTGTCTACTATGTAGGTTGGTTCTCTTCATGTTATTGTGACCAATTTCATAGATGTTGGTTGCCTTGTTGCTTTCTCTCCCCTCTCCTCTCACCCAAGCCATTCTGCATAAGCGAAGCTGTGGACGCAGCATACTGCTGCTACACTTCAACGCGGGAATGCGTATAATAATAATAATAATAATAATAATAATAATTGTCTACTTTGTTTCCGGCATGTGTATAACCTTCATGTGTTGGTTATAGTCCAGGTGGTTTGGCAGTTCAACTAGCTAGTCTAGTTTACTCTCTGACCCATACGTATAACCAAGAGTAACTAAACAAGAGTGTGCAACTCCGGGATGGGTTGGCCCGCGGTGGAATTTTTTGTTGACGTAATCTTTTCGACGACGCACGAGCAGCGAGTCTTTTGGAAAGTTTTGCCTCATGCACTTGGCCGGGCTTTTCATCACAAGGTCGGTGCCCAACATGTGCTCTCACACTGCTGCCCGGCAAAATGCGCGTTTTTCTGAAAAAAAGGTGACGTCAACAAAAAATTCCGCCGCGGGCGGGGGTATCTGTAAATTGTGCGGAAGAGATCCGGAGTTGCACACTCTTGTTTATCTACTCTTGGGATAAATGTATGTGTGCATGCCTGCAAGCGTGCGTGCATATTTCTCCAGGAAGCGGAGTGAAGGGTGTGCATTTGCCATTTATGCATGTGTTTGCATTGGGAAAAGTGAGTGCATGTACATATATGTATATGTCCAGGTTCTGGGTACCTTCATGTCTTTCTTCCTTTGTGTGTTTTCTATCCACAATGCTGACAGATTCTGCCATGCACAAGCCGTGCATACCCGACTGCCTTCACTCAGTGTCGACCACGTAGAACCCTCTACCCCGGCAGAGCTGTAAGTACGCGGAGGTCTTTGGTGTGTGTGTGTGTGTGCGTGCGTGTATGTGTGTGTGCGCGCATGTGTTCATGTGGTGTGGGTGTATATAATTATGTGTGTGTGTGTGTGCGCGTGTGTTTACGTGCACATGGTGTAAAAAGTCTTTGCATAGGAACGGAAAACCAAGTGGAACATGAAGAAATACTCTTGATGAAAGGAAGTGTGTACTTGATTGTGTGGATTTGCGTCCTTGCATGCGAAGTTATAGATTGCGAAACTATTTTGACCGCCTCCAAACTACCGCTTGAACATAAAGGACATCAATAAATTCTCTCCTTGATGAAGGGACATTCGTTTGTGTCATTCTCGGCAGATTTTCTCAACATCGTACCACGTTCGTCTGTCTGTACATCTGTGCGTCTGTTTCTGTCCATCTGTCTCTCTCTACATCTGTCTGTTTGCATGGCTGTGCTAATTTCTGCTCTCTCTCTCTCTCTTGATTTCTCTCTCTCTCTCTCTCACACACACACACACACACACACACACACACACACACACACACACACACACACACACACACACACACACACACACGCACACACACACGCACACACACACACACTCTCTCTCTCTCTCTCCCTCTCTCTCTCTCTCTCTCTCTCTCTCTCTCTCCTAGAGCCGTCTTACTTACATATTGGACGGTAGTAACCTGACATTGGAGTCACCGACCATCACTCTAACATCTTCCATCATGAGGTTAGTCCAGAACCCATGGAACATGCCATCATGCTTCCTTGTTACACTTAGGCTTGACAAATACTCGAAAGTCGAAAAATATTTCGCGCATATTTATTTTCGGCTATTTTCGGCCTGGGCATTTTTGGCCAACAATTTGTTGCGAGCGTGCGCGCGAAGTTTTGTTCTGCAAGGTTCAGTGTGACAGTATATACAGGCAGCAGCAGTACAGGCCGAAATGTGTGTTTATCCCTGGGAGGCCGAAATTTGAACGGGCCGGAAATTTGAAGACTTAGTCAGTTACATGACTCTGTGCACAGACAGAGCCAGTCAAGGCAGCATGAAGTAGAGTGCTCGGTGTACACAAACGTGCAGAGCAGTATACACAAACAATGTGGATGTCGCTGCCTGATGATCGCTGAGATGCGTCAAACTTTTAAAGTTGCAGCTACTCAGCCGTTCACGTCCGTTATTTGTGACTCAGCACACATTTTGTTGTGTTTTAGCACTGACTATGTCACGGCGCCAATGTGTGTGGCGCGTGGGATTGGGGGCAACAAATACTGCTGGAGAGAATTCTGGCAGCTGGCAGTTGTGGCCGAACACATCCTCAAAACCTAAAGCACTTCCACACAATTCCATTTTAAAACCCTTTCCGGCGGACAACGTGGACACACTTTCAGTCCCAGTGATACACTGCAACCCATTCGGATGACTGGCAATCATGGGCCTTTTGGAAAGCTTGAGCCACGGGGAGTTCTCTAGCAACAAGTCATTTGCCTTCATTTATAAGAGAAACAAGAACCATCTTAAACTCCGTTTTTTAAGAGAAATAGAAGAAATCACATGGAAACAAGTTATGAAGCAACTATCCACGGCTGTAACAAGATAATAAGCAGTCTGAAATTGCACTGCAGTTGTTACAGTTGTGGATAGTTGCTTCGTAACTCGTTTCCATGTGATTTCTTCTATTTTAATTATATTTGTTGGCTCAGTACCCGAGTTAAACATGTGTCCTGTACTTACGATATGGCTGTGCTTGGTGGCTTGAAAGAGGAACTTAATTTGTATACTATGCTCTCGTTTGTGCAGCTCTAACCCCATGGATGAGCAAGCAGCAACGCTAGCCGACAACGTTCGTCAGCTAACACTCTCCGTCAGATCCACTGCATCGCTGGTTTCTCTTGGGTAAGGAATGGTAGCTTCTGCTAGTAACAACACGTCCACATTTTGGGATATTCGATGGACGTGATCTTCACTTTCATTTCATGTTCACATGATTTACAGCTGCACGATGAAAACAAAGCTCGTATTCGTTCTCTTTCCTTATCACAGCTGTATTCATGAGTTTGAGGAAGTTGAAATGAGAAACGTATGCATGTACTTATGGTAGTATAGTGTTGGCAACTGAAATCCGACCCCTGATTTCCGTGCTAGAGTGCAGCACCGATTCTAGCGACTCTCTCGGTTTTGTAGTGTACAAAGCGCGTGCTGGGTTTTTGGAATGTGAGCGCACCGAGCAGGGGTTGGCTTTTTTTCTCTTTTTTTTCTAAGACCGCTATGCTCCCGAATGAATGCGGAAAGTGGTGGCGGGGCCCTGCTGCTCAGCCGACCATGGTGGTCTCGACGTCTGCACAGACAAAGCAACTGTAGGTTCTTTATTATTAGACGACTGATGGTCGCACTCAGCGCAAGGCAAGCTACTGCAGCTCCCAATCGCTTGGGATTCCAGCACGGTGTGTTGTTTCTCTTTCTGTGCGTTTGTGTGATTGCAGTGGTGCAAACCCTAGCTCGATCAACGTCTCTTCAACGTCCGACGCTGGAAGAACGGATCAGGCTATTCACACACATACCGTAGGTTTTTGTAACAAGAGAGTTACCATACTATTAGAAGTATACCGTATAAGTACAAATTTCGTTTGGAACTTAACTTTCGCTATATTCGTTATGGGGCACGAAATAGCTAAAGTTTCTACCAAACTAGAGTTTTTTTCTGAACGTTCGGGGTGACAGACCTTGACCAAAAACGAAATAATATTCATTCACTTTAATGAACTGTTTATGTTCCTATGAACCCCATTCTTGATCACAGAAGCACCTTAGAATGTAAATGTAGGCTAAAAAAAAGTCGCCAAGTTTTTGTTGCCGGCAAAAATATTGACAAGCATCCAGTTTTGGTCTTTGTTTCATCATGTGTACTGTTGTTGTAGGTAATCAATCTTGGACCTGGTCATGCACCGGCATCATCTATTGAAATCACCTACGGGCTGTCTGTACCGGGATTACAGTTTGCTACGCTGGAGAATGTACAAGTAAGACAAACTTGTGTGTGTGTGTGTGCGTGTGTGTGTGTGTGTGTGTGTGTGTGTGCATGTGTGTTGGCGTGCACGTGTGTGTGTGTGTGTGTGTGCGTGTGTGTGTGCACGTGCGTGTGTGTATGTGTGTGTGTGTGTGTGCGTGTGTGTGTGTGTGTGTGTGTGTGTGTGTGTGTGTGTGTGTGTGTGTGTGTGTGTGTGTGTGTGTGTGTGTGTGTGTGTGTGTGCGGGTGTGTCTGCGTGTGCATGTGTTGAGGTGTATGTATGTTTGTCAGCCTGCATACTGCACATTCATTCTGTTAAAACATGCACAGTGCTTGGCAATGACATCTGACCGTGGCAGTCGGTGTCACGCCAGGCCCAGAGCAGGCCAAGACCAGTAAGCTTCCAGTGCTGGGTGCAATCTTGACAGTCGCATGATTGGATTTCATTGAGCCACACTGCCCATGTACACTACTGATAGCATACTCTTTCCTTCCTGTTTATTCCTTCTCCTGCGACGCAGGGAACTCGTCGTAATATCCGCTGTGACTACGAGTCCGGTATTGAGAGTGACATTACGGTATGTGCACTGTTTCACACACCAATATGTGTATGATGCTCCTGTGCACTTATGCACATGCACGTGCATACACACACCACACACACGCACACGCACACACACACACGCACACGCACGCACACACACGCACACGCACGCACACGCACACACACACACACGCGCACACACAAACTCACACGCATGCGAACATATACGTACACACATACACACATGTACACACACACACACACGCGCGTATACACACACGCGTGCACACTGACGAACACGATCACGAGACATTGAAGTTTGAAAATGCCACATGGAACTCGTCCTGATTGAGGTTATGAATCATTAGACATGGTTAGTATTTTACCATTCACGCTATTTTCGACGGTCGGCGTGCACCGTTTTTGTGTGTGTGTAGACATGGCATTTATACTGTTCACGCGCTAGATCCGACGGTACTCGTACCCATCACCCAAAATACCGTCGGTTTGGTATCGTTTCGACGATGGAAAGCTCTGTTTAGCGGGAGAACGAAACGGTAAGATTCCAACTAGGGTTACGTGACAAGTTGATCGTTGCGTCAGGAGTCAGGACTCAGAAGCCAAACTGCTAACCGTGTCTCGAAAACATACAAAAACAGTAGACTCGCCCTCTACACGCCGACCGTCGAAAATAGCGTGAACGGTAAAATGCTAACCATGTCTTTTTGTGTTTGTTTGTTTTCTTTTCAGGGTATTGCTTCCAACGGCACAATTGCCTATCGAGTAGAGCGTCTTACATCTTCCCAGGTATGTAGTAGGTAGGTAGGTGGATGGGTGGGTAGGTAGGTGGGTGGGTAGGTGGGTGGGTAGGTAGTGTTGGCAAGAGTACACAGAACTTCTCGTCGTGTGTAAATGCCAATGGGTGGCTGCCACAACTGATTATTTCTTAAAAACCAGTCGGAATTCTTAATTAACATCCTCATGATGTCCCTAGATTGGCTGCAGTCCGGACACGAGGTTGACGGGGTTCATCATTGCGCAATGGGGTTTTCTGTGCAGTCGGGTGCACTAGTGGATATTGACACATACGGCAAAAATACTGCTCTCTGCATATATTCTCTTTGCGGCATATTTGATAGGTTCCCAGGAAAAAGGGGAGTGGGAGGAGTAGGGAAAGGGAATGGGGAAGTGAAGAGTGGGCCTCCATCATGGTGGATATTGGACTCTTGCACACCTGTTCATTTTGTTCCTCCTGATGATCCGCTTTATGTACATGAATGTGTGTGAATGTGTGTGTACGTATGTGTACCTGTGTGTGTTGTGTGTATGTGTGTGTGTATTTGCATGTGCGTGCATCCCATGTTGGCCTTGCCACTCACACAGTCTTCAGCTGGCAGTGGATCTGTGTGCACTACGGTGTGCAAGATGACGTGTGAAATCCCGGCACTCCGGAGTGGCGAGTCAGCCGGTCCTCGTCTCATTTTCAAACTGCAAACAGGACCATTGAGAAATGTAAGCGAACATACACACACACTTGACATTTCTACCTCATCTTCTCTTGTCTTTTATCGCACTCAATCACCCCCTTCTTTTAGGCTATGGTGCACAAGCCCATGTTAGCGGTCGGTGATGCGGGCTTGCCTCACCAGCACAGGCTTGCTTTGCAGCCCCTACTCTCCTTACTGTTTTGTTATTGTGTATTCTGGTGTCTTCTCCCCTTCTGACGAGTAGGTTGTGTACTTAGTGAAAAAACCCAAAAAAAAACAAAACAACAACAACAAAAATAACAAAACCAAACCCTAGTGCTGTTCTTGTCTCTGCAATTTGTCTATCACTATGTAGTATCACTTCAGTGGGGTGTGTATATGTGTCTGGGTCTTCGGTGCATTCTCTTTCTCCCTTCGTATTTTTCCCATCCTCCACTCTTGATTATCACTTCCACATCCAATACCACATGCACCGGCGCACAGATACACAGATACACAGACACACAGACACACAGACACACAGACACACAGACACACAGACACACAGACACACAGATACACAGACACACAGATACACAGACACACAGACACACAGATACACAGACACACAGACACACAGATACACAGACACACAGACACACAGACACACAGACACACAGATACACAGACACACAGACACACAGATACACAGACACACAGACACACAGATACACAGACACACAGATACATGCACACAGACACACAGACACACCGACACACAGATATACAGACACACAGACACACAGACACACAGATACATGCACACATATATTATTATTATTAATTTTTATTAAATTTTGAATAGGGCATTCGTACAGGCCTAAGGCCTTCTTACAGGGTACCATATATGTTCATGTACAAGCGTGCATACATGCATGTATGTGTGCACATACATGCATGTATGCACGCTTGCACAGATCATGTGACACTGGGTTGGCAGTATCGCGAGATGATTTTGAATCACGTTTTCCTCCTCCGTATTTATGACCCGATTGCATTTTGTTTTGCGTATGTGTGTGTGTGTGTGTGTGTGTGTGTGTGTTCTTCGTGTGCGTGTGTGTGTGTGTGTGTGTGTGTGTGTGTGTGTGTGTGTGTGTGTGTGTGTGTCTGTTCTGTGTGTGTGCGTGTGTATGTGTGTGAGCCGTGTGTGTGTGTGTGCTTGTTTATGTGTGCATCTGTGTATGTGTGTGTGTATGTTTACTCGTCCAGGGAGGACATCTTAGCAGCAGTCTGAAGTTCACCAGCACATCCCGAGTGGTTAGCGTAAAAGAAGTGACAGGCTTCACAGCTAACCTGACCACGATGAACACTATGGGCAGTGTAAGTTTAGATAGATGCGTTTCCTGAGGGTGTGCAGACTCCACTGTAGCCACAGTTCATGTTTCACACAGTTATACACCACTCAAAAACGGTCTGTCGCCTTCAAATTCTTCCAAAAACAATTAATTAAATAAAATCCGTAATTTTCGGGCGTTGTGGGTAGTGGTGTAAAACTCAGTGAAACCTGAAATATGTGTTTAGACCAACGACGTCTCTGGTCGCAACTCATCCGTGCCCATGGTGACTTTCGGTCTGCTTTCGCTGACCGCCTTGTACATGTCTTCGCTGACTTCAGCAAGACCGTACCCCGTACCCCGGTGCTGGTCTGCAACTTGCTCTACCCCGGCTGACCGACTCGGCGGCTCGTACGTGTAGCCATGGTAGCCGTAGTCGTACTCTAGTCCACGTGCAGCAGTAGACTCCGAGGCCTCAACTGAACTTCTGCCGTGCGCGTGCAGGTAGCTCCGGGCACCAGCCCAACTGGGCATAGCCATAGTGCTTGCGGCAGGTCCGCTGTACCCGTACCCGACCTCCGAAGCTAGTTCGCGTCGAGCCTGGACTGGGTGGGGCCGCTGTGAGACGCCCAGGTAGCCAGTTTCCACCGCGTAACTACGTACCTGCCCACGTACGTCGTCCAAAATGCTCTCGGTTGCTGTGGTGAATTGCTCCTCGAGTAATTCCGCTTCCCGCAGCGTTGCTTCCATACGCTTTTCTTCGTTGGTTGAGCTGTACAAACTGACGAGTTTCATTATAGCACTGGCGGCGTTGTCATAATGTGAGCTTAGCTCGGCTAGCTCGTCGTTAGCTTGCTCCCCTCGCACTCCGCCATTCATGGAGCGCACGAGAAGTGTCCGCTGCGCGTTGGTGAAGTATATTTTAGCCACCATTTTTTTCTCTAAGCAGCTCGCTAAGCTTCTCGTGCTTGTTCGTTACTGCCGCTGGTTCATTTTGGTGGTTTGCTTCCTCGGTGCTGGCGGTCCCGTCCTCCGCGGCTTGGCTGTCTTCTCCTTGTCCTCTTCGACTAGACACTCCATAGCCGCGCTTAGGTGGAACGTTCATCACTTACGAGGTCGACTCGACTTAATTAACCATCCTCTGCTACCAATATGTTCTGTAGAGGCGTGCTCCTGCCTCGGCACACACCCGAGCCACACAAGGAACCAGCTCACGACTCTCAAGAGAACTCTGTTAGAAATCTCTGGCTCCAAGCCGCACTTGCTTGAAGCCTTTCAACAAACTCGTAAGCACTATAGCCAACTGACTACCGCAGAGATAACGTTTAGCTTATAACACTTGCATGCCAAGAACTCCATCAGCAGGCGCAAAAGAAGGTGAAGACAAAGCCTGTGACTTAAAAGTGTGAACCCTAACGAAAGTCACCGCTACATGTAACACGACACGAGGGTGCATGTCAGTGACATGTGCGACCTCCTGAACATTCTCCCCTTCCCGATATGTTGAGAGGTAACTCCGAAAATCATATCGCAACTCAACAAAGCAAATTTCCAATGCGACAAGCAACACAAAACGAGGGTGCATGTCAGTGACATGTGCGACCTCCTGAACATAGAGAGTGTAGATATGCTGCACCGCTGCTTTGCATGTCATGATTGGAAGCTGTGGCCTTAGTAAAAAAAAAAAAAAAAAAGATATAGTGAAGAGTCACGGAGGCCATGCCCAGTAGAGCATGGTGTAGTGCAAAGTCCTGTACCGTGTAAACATGGCAAGAGACAGTGGCAGACTACGTCGTGACTGGATACAGTATAGGCAGGGGCATCGGAAGGTATTTTAGTGTGGTACAGTCAACCATCTGAAGTACAATTTACTCGTGAGGGAGGGGTGGCTGATCCGAAAATTTTGGGAATTTAGAGCCCAAATCAGTGCATCTTGTTGATTCACGGGGTACTTGGGGCAAATAGTGGTACGGTCAATACCGTAGTGACCGTACTGTGTCCGATGCCCCTGTGCAAAGTCATGTACCATGTATCCATGGCGAGAGACAGTGGAAGACTACGTCATGACTGCATACAGTATAGGACACATAGAACACATGAGAGGCGTGTGAACATGACGTAAAGCCCGCATACAGTCAGCCTGGCGAATAACGACCCTCACTCGGCCGTCAGGAACGTGTCATTATTTGCAAGGTTAAAAGTATGCGAACAAGTGGTTACTTGGTCCGAAGATAATGTTGTTATTCGTGAGTTGTTGCTATATCCGAGGTTGTTATTCGAAAGTTTGAGTGTACAGTGGAACCTGTCTAAGACGACTGCTCAAGGGACCTTCAAAGTGTGGTCTCGGTTACCAGGTGGTCTCCTTATCCAGTGCCATTTGACTGGATATAGCATCCCT